GGAATGCAAAACTGGCATTGCCTCTGGTGTGCAGTCGTCAGACGCATCCACACCTTTTTGCGGAATGTTTTTTCAGTATGTGGTAAACCAAGTTATCGTCCAAAAAGGACAGGTCGTCATCAAAGGCTGTGGGTCTGCAACAAGCTTGCCTCACTTTGTCAGTGACTAGTTTTTTCTTTCTGGTTAAGTTTTTTAAAATTTTGTCATAGGTGGTCTCGACTGCATCACAAGATCCACTGCAATACCGGAAAATTAGCTCTTCTTTGGTTTCATATCCTAAATCCAAATCAGTCACGTTTAAATGTATTTCTGTTAAGACACATCCTCGATTTTTTCCCTTTTGATTTCTCCTCCCCTTTTTGCTGGAACTCTCTATATTTGTGGCTGCGTTTTGCCGGTTTCTCTCCCGCCTAGAAAAAATCGGAGTCTGTTTATCCGGTGACCTCCTCAGTCTTTTAATGGTGGCTTGAATAAAGTCCACTACATCATCAAACTGATCTGGATAATCCTCTGGCATATTAGCTGTTTGGGAAAGAGAGAAAAGGCTTTGTCACATGTCAGTTGTCATTAAGTGTGTCCATTTGTGGCTCAAAAACATTAGACATATGCAAGCTGCTCTGCCCATCACTTCAGAGCGCGTGCCCAGGACCCTCAGAAATCAGGGAGAATTTGGAACAGTTTAGATCATCAGGGAAACTCATTTGGGGAAAAATAAATGAGATACATATGTATATCTGTAGGTGTCTGCTGATGCCTGGTAGCACTCCAGCACATCTTTCAATATTGAATATGCCCTGTCAAAATCGAGGGAAAGAAAAGCATGTCATGATATGAACATTAGGTAATGGGTGGGTGAAGCTACTGGAGAGAAGTTATACAGACTCTTCCCAGAAAAGCAGCGAGAGGATGAGGTTTCTTTAAAGCAATTTTGTGATTATAATTGTTAATTGTTGTCTTTTCACACCAGCTGCGGTTAGTATTGGCAAAACCACCTATCGATAAGGTTTTTGGGCTGGACAGAAAGAAGAATTTCCTGGAGCACCAGGTTGAGCTATTATTCCTGGCTGAATGCCTGCTTTTTTACTGATTCTAGGGGATAATAATTATCAGAGCTTTTGAAAAATTTCTCATGGAAATATTTTGTATTACAAGATGCTGATTAGACTGAGTAGAAATAGGTCAGAATAGAAGTATTACGTTAATTGTCAACAGAAATGTTATTAATGCATTTTCTTTTTATGAAGTTAAAATGTGTATTTCATTTTCACTTGATACACACTCTACCAGTGACAAATTATTCAAATAAATTAAATGTTGAAATTTAATTTAGTTTTGATACTAGCAGAATGAGCCTCTTCAAGGAGGGTGAAATTGAACGTGTTCTGAAATGTTCTCAGATTTCACCTTTTCAGCATGATTTGGAAAAAAATTCATTTTGAAATCTTTAAACTTCCAATGGACTAAATTTCTCAATGTGATCTGCTTTAGTGAATACAGTGACTTAATGGAGGGTCAGGCTGTCAGGAGCCCATGTGTAGGTGCCTTTGTCTTGTATTATTAATGATTGTCTCATGAACACATAAATTACATTGCAGTATTGAGATTATTTTTCTCATTCATTGTGCCAAAAACCAAGACTTGAGGACTCACTTCCTTTGCAGTAAGAGAGTACTCCTTTCTGTACTTAACTCCTCAGTGCCCACCCATTTAACAGACCAGTGTTAAGGACCAGCCCTGCATGTAGGGGACCTTCATCTCCAGAAGGACCCCTACAAATATCCCAGGAGCTGCAAATATTCAGAAAGTCAATACCCAGTGCAGTACACCTGGCCAGGGTTTGGTACCTCCACTGAGCCACGAAGGCTCTCACCCGCTCAGGTGCTGAGGTAGGAACAGCTCGTTAGGCAAAGGCTCAGCACCACCTTTCCCTAATGAGCACTGTAGCAGACAGGAGTCTGGTGGGAGACCAGGCAGTGCAGGTACCCAGCCCACAGGCGGTGGCATGGACTCTGTTAACAGGAGAGAGGAAGACATGAGGCTGCCTCCCATTGCCTAGCGCCGGTGCACCTTCCTGTTCTCTACAGGAGCACCAAACACAGAGGAGATGGGGGCAGCAGAATCTTAACTCTGTTAGTGCAAAAACTTGCTGAAGCACAGTGCATCTGCACCTAAGGAGGGTCATGGACCCCTCCCCAAAGCAGCCACATCTTACAGGGTCCCCTGCATGACAAAACAGTGATGTTATCAGACGCATATGATTTTTCATGGATGGCTCAGGCAAAAACATATAGACTGGTGAAAGAGTAATGAAGGCAGGCAATCTTGTATCTTCACATAATGAGGGTGGCACGTGGGAAGCAGGATCTTATAAACTGTAGAGTTTGGGACTGGGAAAAGTGAATTACACTGTGTTTTACAGATATCTATGCTAAAGTCAACAATCTCGCAGACCAGTGACTGCCAAAAGACATGAAGGAGGGATGGCTGCTATTTATACACCTATATGGGACCTGAACAAGGCAGGACCCTGCACCAAGCCCCATATTCCTGTGACACCAATGGTAAGTGCACCCTTCTTGCACTCCTCTGTCATTTCCTCTGTAGCAGGCACCAAAACACCCACTATAAGACATACCTGCTGGATGGAGGTAGCTTGGATAGATGTGTCCATTGGATGCACCACTCAGCTCTGTTGAGTGACAGACAGGCTGGTCTGCCTACACTATACGAATACTGCCCTACTGAGCAAGGTCCATGTCAAGGCAATGGGTAGGCTACATTCCTTAAAAGCAAAAAGGGACACCTTGCTAGACTCAGTCAAGCAAGATGACCCACGTGGAGCTGGCACAGCCCCCATTGCTGAAGTACAAGCTTGGCCCTGGCACAGATACAGATGGAGAGGGGATTAGTAGGAGGCATTTGTTGCTGTGGGACTGGGTGGTTTCTCCCACAGAAACTAGGTTTCTTAGCTTGTAACCCAATAAGAGAAGGATGTGTTCCTGAAAAGATGGCTCTAGCTGAGCCATTCTAGGCTCTCACCTTCAAACTACCCCTCTCATACTACTGTGATTACCACAGCCCACACCTCTGTCACATACTCTTGGCCTCACTCTTGAGGCAACGGTATGACAAAATGAGACGTTGGCTGTGGAGAGTGAAATACAACCATCAGGGAAGCATGCTAGGGTTTAATGAAATTTATGCAATGGTCAACAAATCAGGAAGGGGACAGAGGATTGTTACAGGAAAACCCAACATATACATGGAGATTCTCATCTACAACCTTCAGCCTCATACTTGTCCCAAGGCTGGTATACTGCCAGTGCAGCGAAGGCAGTAAGTGTCCCCCACCTAGGAAGGGAGAAACAAAACTGTGCATTACCTGAAGAGGTAACAACCCAACTAGGAACATAATTTTTAAACTGCTTGCAATTCAGGTGCAGAAATATCACCTACCACTGCAACAGTGCTATACTCAGGGGTCTATTTTGGTTAAATATTAATCAGACAGTTACAGGGTTCAAGCACTGTCCTGCCCGAGCCAATCCACATATGCCCTGGAGGGTAGATAAAGAGGAGGAAAGGCCCGTGATGTGGAAGGTGTTCCTGCTCAGAGCCCATGCTGACATCTATCCTGGTTCATGTGTGATCACTACCCCAACTACACCAAGGGAGCTAATGTTGCTGAGAGCCTTCTGTGCTGAAAGTGGCCTATGATATTTAAGGTGGAGGAAACACACCATAGAAGAGCCTTATGCAATGCTGTTAATGCAGACATGGGGGTGTCAACATTGCAGAAGGTGGAAGCAGTAGGGCAAAAAGTACCAGTAATCAAGCCAACAGCATATCCAACTAGAGAAGCCGTACCTACACACATGGACTTGCTGCAACTAGAAAATAAGGTAATTGGCAGCACGGCTGGACCCAGCAACCACTGAACCATGGACCCAAGCAATGGGGCTCATAATGATCAGATGTGGCTTGGTGCTAATTTTCTTCTATTTAACGAAGCATAGTTATCAGCGTGACTACAAACAGTCACTAGGAGAGGCCTGCAGGGGCTTGAAGGAAACCTTGACAGCCAGGAGTGAAATGAGAGTTGACTTAGCAGCCTATGCTAAGATGCCAGTCATGACTCAGTAGGGATATTCAGCTGTCCAATAAGTATGGGTGCAAAGCCTGAGAGCCTGAAACAAAATGGTATAAAAAACTGCTGAAGTAGAATCCTGGGCAACTAAGTGGAAATACCAGCATTAACACCAGGTGTGACAGGCTGAAACAAGGGAGGAACTAGAGGCAAGTGCTAAGGAAGCTACCACCAGACATCATATGTATGTAAGCAATAACCCCTGACCAAGGACTAAAGACCGTAAAAGGCTAACAGACAGACGAGAAGGTGGAGAAGACTGACAGCAGGACCACCCCAATCCTGATGAGCACTTGGTAGATGTGCTCCAGGGATGCCGACACCTCTCTGTGCCACAGCCACCATGTGCTGAGCACTTGTTTGGTCTCTGCACTGTGCTAATTGCTGCTGGGGGCAAAGGGGGTGCTGAGCCGAGTTGCATGGCCAGGGAACACCAGCAGACTATAGAGGCTGCCTTGGCATTGAGTGCTGGTTTGTAACCTGAATAAAGCAACTCAGTTGAGGGGTACTTAGTTACCCCTCTGTCTACAATACTGTTTAGAAAACACTTATAAGTCTCAGAATCAAGGTCAAGAGCCCAGCAGCTTTGCTTCTCTAATACTGCATGGACTGAGCTACTTAACTGTGCAGCAGACAGCTTTCCATGGGGATTTCACACCCCTGGGAGAAGCACACATTATTATCCCTTCCTGTAACATACACAGTTTGCATGTGTGTATATGTATGTTGTATTTACACATACAGACATATAAATATATCTAATTACACACACAGATACTTTTTCAAAGCAAACTAGTTTACTGACCGCACTTGCCTTCTGGTAGAAAATCTGAGGGAACGCATGACAGATGCCTGTCCCACTGTACAAGGTACTGGCAGATAATGCTCAGATACTATGGCAATGAAAGCAGATCTCTGAGCAGCAGTCCCTGGCCCCAGGGTCCAGAGTGTGAAGGAATTGGACTTTAGAAGTCCAAAGCCACCTAGGGATGGGATGGGATGGGATGGGATGGCACGGGATGGGATGGGATGGGATGGCACAGGATAGGACAGGATGGGATAGTCCACAACAGCATGTGCTCAATATAGGTTAGCAAAGGTTGGCTCACACATGTGATGCACCTCAAAGCAGGTGTGTCCTGAGTGAAAAGGACCATATGTCTTGGGAATGTAAAGTCCTCCCTCAGGGAACACAGGACCTCTGTGTAACTTTTGCACAGCCTGGGAAAAAGGCTCACAGCTCCCACTGGGGCAGTGTGATGGGCTGAGCCCCACCACTTAAGACTACGGCGCCATGAGCACTCACAAGACCAGCACAAAGTCATGCAGTTTCATTTGGGTTTTATGCCACATTTCTGAAAGCTGTTCCCTGACC